AAATGAAAATTGTGCTGTTACCATGGAAATTGGTAAATGGGCTGATGAGGATTGCTATTCAGAGTACTACTATGTATGTGAAATAAACAGAAAAAGTAAGTTATATGATTTCCACTTGATTACTGTTGAAGACTTTATTTTAGCTGGAATTGATTTTCGCTGAAAAGACTTTTTGGGTGTTTTGTATGGAATTTACTTTCACTGATTTTTGATGAGTTGAATGTGAAATACAGGAAAAAAAGTATATTGGCTGGATTTTATTTTCACTGAAGCATCCCTTCAGCAAAAGTAGCGAAAAATAAATTCCAAACGAAAATAAAGTATTCTACAGTAGATTGCTAAACTCTAAATTTTATGGTTTTTCAATGTATATTTATTTTTGTCTGTATTGCCTTCTAGATTATACCCTGGAAGATATGAATGTTGAAAATGTCCAGGGTGTTGCCCTATCACCAAGGAGTATTCATGTCACATGGGAAGTCTCTAAACTCAACTGTGATGTCCTGGGTTACCGTGTGAAATACCACCGATTAGACTGGATTGGTGGCGCATTTATCGTGATGGTAGATGGCGGAGACAGCTATGATGTTACCCTGACTGGTCTACAAAGTTCAACTTGGTATATGATCTACGTTGCTGCTCAGCTACGTCTTGGCCATCTGGATTATGTGCCGGGTGATCCAGTCTTGACGCATGAAGGTATACAACTTTCACAATATCAGTGCTTTAGTCCTTATCACTTTATAATATTTTCCTTCATCAAAAGAATGTTTTTCATGTACTTTTTATTACATTCTTCCACTTTAATCTAAATTATCTGAACGTCTGGAACTGAATTAAATTTCATTTTGATATTTCAGCTTTCATAGAGATATGCGGTCTAGTAATAAACTGATTCTGTGACATCAAAATGAAAAATAGATGATTACAATGTTGTTCAAATAATTACAGGCAAACGCAAATTCACTTAACTTGGGATTTAAACTCTCACAAATTACAAAATTAATGCTTGTCCACTACAGGTGGTTGGTCTGCTATATACTTGTTATTATTGTGATTGGCAAAAAGACTCATTGTTCATATAATCTGTATATGCCAAGTATTAATTGATTATTTTATATTGTTAGTTGTCAAGCCTCCAGCACCTACACCACTCCCTATGAAGCCATGCGGTGGTGACTTCATTGCGAAGAATGGAACCTATTTACATATCACATCACCAAATTATCCTGATCAATATGATAATAATGAGGTAAGAATTAAAATGGCTATATCACCTATAATTAGCATGAGACCCTTCATTTTCAGCCAACGATGTTGGTGCTTGAAACTACATTCAATTTGGCTCCATTACAAAAAATGAATGAAATAGGCATGAAAGAAAGTTTAGAAAGAATTCATGCTAATAAGTTTCTGCAATTTTGAATTTAGTTTAACTTCCATATTTGTCGACCAACACACACACACACGCATGTGAAAGCTGACTATTGTACAGATCTTTGTATATAAGATAATTTGGTTATTGTTATAATTAAATATTTTACTGTGAAAATAAAGTGCAAATTGATTAATGAAACATAAATTTAATATCTAGATAATCTAAGCCGTCATTACTTCTTTGTTTTTTCAGTATTGTGAATGGAGAGTAAGAGCATTGTCTGGTAATGCACTATTGGTGCATCTAAGAGATCTGAGTACCGAGTATCTGTTTGATTGGGTGGATATTGGAGAAGGCGACGTTCCAGATGACAATCGTGTCCATCATATCTCTGGTTTTCTAAGACCCTGGAGATTCTGGACCTCTTCAACCAGTGAGATCTGGGTTACATTCAGCAGCGACGCTTCATTTGCATTCCGAGGGTTCATGCTGGATATTGAAGAGCTATTTACAGGTATTATTAATAGTATGGTTCTCTACTTTTATTAAAAAAAAGTACTATAGCACACAATGAAGGTCTTTAAACCACAAATTGTTCTTCATCATTTGGGAAATTTGTACTTTTCTATCATTTCGTTACTAAATTTTAATTGAAAGAATATAATATGTCACAGGGCAATATATTTAGCTTTTTTAGCTCCGCTGTCGACTTTGTTGAGCGGAGCTTATCATATGAGTGATTGTCCATCGTCGTCCGTGTCAATGTTTTACTTTTTCGACTTCTTCTTGAAAACTACGAGTCTGAATGCTTTGATACTTGATGTATATGTACCTTGGGTAGATCTCTGTTAGGTTTGTTCATTTCATGATGATATCTTCAATTCTCTAATTTTGGTGAATATTTTTTGTCATTTTCGGTAAAAAGTGATATTTTCAACTTCTTGTTAAAAACAGTAAGTTCGATTGTGATATAATTTGCATATATAATTACTACATGTGGAGTTCTCTCAGATTTGTTCATTTTGTGATGATATCTTCAATTATCTAATTTTAATTTATATTTTTGGCATTTTTGTTGAAAACAGCACGTCCGATTGCTTTGATACTACCGGTATACATATTATTCATTTTCTAATGATGTCTTCAGTTCTTTAATTGAAATGTGCATTGCTAATAGCGGAGCTATCTCAGCCAACAGGCTGCTTGTTTTGTTAAAGGTGACATTTTGGTTTGATATCAATAAATATTTCCTGAAATAGTAAGTCAATTGTGAGATTAAATCTAGGTTAGTATCACAAAAACAAAGTGTACTATTTCTATGGTACATGTATTGCAATTTTCTATGAAGAAATATATTTTTATTTCATATCAAACACCACCTTGAATCAGGTGTCATTTAAATTCCAAATGCATGAAATCAAAAGGAAGTGTCTCGGATTTCACTGATAAACCTAGTAAGTTCTTCACTGCAAGAATGCTGCAAAAATAAAGGGAACACTGATCATATGTAAATGTATGTATGATAACTATATGCTTGCTTCATTCTTCATTGATGGTGCCTCCAACTATGCATAGAACTGTACTTGCTCTATTGGTGTGCATGCACTTACATAAATGACATGGATATTTTTATGGTTAAAATAAATAAAATTTCAAATAATGATTAAATATAGAACAAAATGTGATTTTTGGTTTTCAGATATAATGCTTAATTTAGAGATAGGGTTACATGTATGTCTAAATCAACAGATTATAAATGCAACAGAATTTCATTGAAAGAAATGTGTTTAAATTAGACAAAGTACAATGTAGAAACTGTAATACTACTTAACTGCACATTGATCATCAATTAAGCTATAAAATATATTCTCTGACTAAATTCATGAAGAACTGAGTGTTGCTAGTCAATTTATCTGATTTACTGTCATTGTTTTGTAGAAGAACCAACAGAGAAACCAATTCCAACAGAACCAGTACCAATTGACCAGTGTGGGGGGAATGTCACAGTGGCTGCTGGTGAAGTTCGCGATATCACGTCACCAAACTATCCTGATCTTTATGATAATGATCTGGAGTGCCTGTGGTTAATCAATACAGAATCTGGTGCTAGGGTGAATGTCACATTTTTGTTCTTCCATACGGAATACTGTCATGACTGGCTGGAGATTGGAAACGGTTTTCACTACCAGGATCTGACTACCAGTGCTCTTCGGATATCAGGAGAAGTCAACCAAGATCCATTCTACGCTGTAGGTGATGAAATCTGGATGACGTTTACGACGGATTATTCCATTACTTATCCAGGATTCCATGTGATTGTTAGTGAAATGGATCAACCAGGTATGCTTCACTGTAATTTAACCTTTCACTTCTCAAATGTCTTCTTTTCACATCTCAACTTTCACCTGTTACCTATAACCTATGACCTTATATCTATTGCATTTCACCTGTTACCTTTCTCCTCTTACCTGATACCTATATAGTATGTTGCGAAGACGTTAACCACTCTATTATGTATTTCTATGGGCTCTGAGTGAGCTGCTGTGGAATGTCAGTCAAAGCACCGATGAAAACCGCTAAGTCAAAAAAACAGAACAAACTCAATGATGAAACAGTCCTGAACAACTAAATTTATGTTGCATATGTAGGGGTAATTTTGCTACACAGTTCAGGAGAGTCTCAACAATTATCCCAAAGTACAGTTTGCTTTCCACAGTTAGACATATGATTTGGATATTGGATTAGTATGATATTTCTATTGTCATCATTTGTGGTTGGTTGCCAGGCGGTGAAAATGCATGGATATTCACTTTCAAAAATTTCATGTTTTTAAAAACCATCCAACTCTTTTCATCCTAAAGATGAAGAATGTGGTGGACAGGTTATCCTGCCACGAGTACAAGGATCTTATGAGATAGTCCACTCACCAAACTATCCAAATCACTATGGCAACAATGAATTATGCAAGTGGACGGTATCCTTATCAGAGGTCACAGCGAGAATATCAGCAGAATCTGATGAGCTTTGTATACTGATGAATGTCAGTAGTTTCAGTTTGGAGAAGAATTTTGACTGGTTTCAGCTAGGCAGTGGCAGTGATGAGTTGACATCATCCTCTCTGCTGTACAGATTGACTGGCTATGACATCACTGGATCATATAGCACCAACATGGATAAAATATGGGCATTGTTCACTAGTGATGCTTCTATAACTTCTACTGGATTTAACATGACATATTTTGTTGGTGAGTACCTGGAAAACAGTACACATGATGTTTTTCCTTGAATTTAGCAATTAAAATTTTGATTATTATGAAATACTTTATTTTCGTTTATTTTTGCTCTTTTCGCTGAAGAAACAATTCAGTGAAAATAAAATCTAGCGAATATACCTTTTTCCTGTATTTTACATTCAACGCGTCAAAAATCAGTGAAAATAAATTCCACACAAAATACCCCAAAAGTGGTTTCAGCGGAAATTAATTCCAGCTAAAATAAAGTATTTTACTGTAAATGAATAATAATTAGTCTCTGAAAATGGTTGTTCAATTTGGGTTTTACTTTTTGTTTAGCAGTGACATTTAGTCGCCCTTTAAAGGCAGCCATAGTGCTTGATTTGAATCCGCCTGTCCTATAATTTGTTTAACCTTTTCACCACCAGTTCCCATGCACTTTTTATCCCAAGTACACAAAATAGTTCAGTTTATAGTCTGCACTTTCCTTCAGAAAATTGGGGCAAAAATAGCCAACATTTTTTGAGTAAAAACTAAAAATTTACTCAAATTTTGTCTATTAGCCCCCAAAATAGGATTCATTGAAATATTGAAGAATATAGGAAGGAAAGTGCAGACAAATAGGATAATGTGTCGTACATTACAAAAATGTATATGTAATGATTTCTCTATTCCAGCACCTGCTTGTGGAGGCCATTTCACCGCTACCTCTGGCAACATAAGCTCACCATTGTATCCTATTCCATATCCACATGGTAGTGAGTGTGTTTGGACAATTGACATTGAAGAAGCTACGTCTATTGAGATAGTTTTCCATGTGTTCGGCTTAGAAGCCGGTTATGATTATCTTCATATTGGAGAAGGTCTGGTTCCAAATCAAGGATACACATTTGTAAGTTGTGTAGCGTATGATGGAAGTGAAATATATATTATCAACTTCGAATAAATTATCTTTCACATAACATTTGTCCATACTTTTTTTAAAGATTATATGTAGTCAGTAGTAAATTCTGTCTATTTGATCCAAAATTAACGAAAAATCATAGAAAAGTACATAAAATTCATGAAAATTCTGAACCAACATTTCCTCAGGTAAGAAAACATTACGTTCATCTTGAAATGCAAGCTTAGTGAGTACAACAAAGAGTACTTATTTGTGCTATTATTATTATTATATTGTTCAAATTGTCATCTGTATGTTACAGGAGCTGACTGGATCAGAACTTCCCAAGGACAGCATTGTAAATAGTGGACAAGCATGGTTGGAGTTTACATCAGATAATTCAGGAGATGGAATAGGATTCTATTTAACATACAGTTTGTATGAGGACCGTAAGTTGATAAGAACATTTCTTTACTCAATTGGTGTTTGATTTCAGATTGTGCAAGTTGCTTGGCCTGTTTAGGTTTAGAAATGCTGGCTTTTGATTGGTTTATTAAATTAGTTGTCCTGGAGACTATATATGGCACTTTTCTATAAATATCTAGTGTGTCTTAAATATTATTATCTGAACAAATATCATCAGGTAGATCCATCATGACAGTGTGAAATGTCTAATGTGTTACCATGTCACTAATATGTACGCCATGGCTATGAAGGTTTGTCAGTTACATTGTATAAAACATAGAACAATTCATGAAGTATGTATGTATCACAAATAATGAGAAGAATTTATTAGATAAAGATATGTCACTTAGATAAATAACTTACAGCAAAAAGAACAAAAAATGTACTTTCCTAGTAAATGTGGACTGCTGAATGAAAACTGTAAGCAACACACTTGTCAATGAATAAATGGACAGTCAGAGTACTATAACTAAACAATAGTGCAATGGATAGTTGGAAAACTCAAGGAATATACACCTTTAATTGCAAAAAAAGCATGGATTAAAAAAAAATGGTCTGAGATGATACTGACCATTTTTGGCATACACTTACTCATTTGTATTAGAATTTTCAGAAATCTACCCAGGGATTTTGTGATCTTCCTCAATTTGCATAACTTAATATTTGGATCTTTATCTCAACTTATTTTGAATTAGATGTTTAATGTGATTGGAATTGATGAACCATGTAATGTCATTGTACATTATCGGGCAATTTCAATGACATTATTGTTAATAATTTTTTTGTATATCAAACAGATGTGCTGGAAGGCAAAGAATGTGGTGGTGAGTTGAATCTCAAATATGGCGGCATTCTAAGTATCCAGTCACCAAATTATCCTTCATCCTACTACAACAATGAACGTTGCGAGTGGTTAGTCACGTCAGAGTCTGGACAGCCCATGAGTGTGTCATTCCGTGACTTTGAAACGGAGAGAGCACATGACTGGTTAGATGTTGGTTCAGGTTCAGTGAATAATGATTTGTCTACCCGTGTGAGGCACCTTTCAGGTGATCACCTACCAGCGATGTTTATAGTGAATGCAGAGTCATTGTGGATCACCTTCTATACAGATGACAGCATCGTGTTTAGGGGATTCCTTTTAGAAATCAAGGAATATAATGAAAGTAAGTCTCACTTGCATGTCAGAAGGGATTGCATATTTATATCGCAAAGATACAAACCCCTGTTTGTAATGACAAGGATAAATAAGTTTGAAGGTCAAAATAAAAAAAAAACTGTCAAAATCATGCAAGAAATTAATGTCTTTTTGGGAATATAGCCTGGCTGCACTTTTATAATAAGAGAACCTTTTTTATACTCAAAAGTTGAAAAACAACTGCTTGAAAACAAGAATTACAAAGTGGTCGTTTGTTGCCAATTTTTACACAAATTATTTACTTTTTCTACAGCTGATACCAGTGAGCCAAAACCAGAGATCCCACAGGTTACTACGACAACCCCAACTCCCATGCCGGAACTATGTGGTGGAAGTTTTGAAATCCTTTCTGGAGAGGTGTACAATCTCACTTCTCCCAATTACCCAGCTGACTACTACAACGATATTATTTGTGATTGGGTTTTTAATGTCACTGTTGGTAAGAGGATTAGAGTGGACGTTATTGATTTTCATACTGAGAGGCGATATGATTATCTGGACTATGGAAATGGTGATGACTCCTCAAATTGGAGGACTCGCATGAGACGGACGTCAGGACTGAAACTATCAACTTCGTTCACATCAGAAACTGACACTATATGGTTCAGGTTTGTGACAGATAATACCGTCACGGAACGAGGATTTTTCTTGCAACTTGAAGAACATGAAGGTAATAATATTAGCAAATATTTTATTTAGTTGACAGAAATATAACATCCATTAATCCTTTGAATGTCAAAGTCAACTTTTGTCAACTTTCAGAAAAATCCTTTTTTTTTTTAAATGTTTATCAATTGGAAGTACCGGTAAAATTATGAAAATCTGCAAAATGTTGAACCAGAACTAAATATATTGTTCAAAGAGTTAGTATCATTGCTAAATATATAAAAAAACTTAAGATATGGACACGAGAACTTCAAATCTTGATAAATTAAGCCTAAAGCATGATAATTATACAAGGCATTCATACAAAATTAACTCATAAATAATTATAGATAGCATTATACTATAATTTCGATAAGTATCTTTTGATACATGAATTCTCCACAGTATGTGACTATCAGCACAGGTTACTATTTAGGAATATATCTTTTTCTGCCCATGCGCAATATGGTATATCAACACATCAGCTGCAGAAAGCTACCTCAGGTAGCCATTATGAATGGCATATAACTGTGTCAGCCAGTGGTGTTTTGAGAACACTAATGATAAAATAGTGATGAGACAGAAATGTATGATCTCTATTACTTTTACCTAAATGCTAGATTGTGTATATGATGTGCCAATCAGTCCTGGAAGCAGTGTTATCATTGAATCTCCTGGCTATACCAGTGGTGGATATGAAAACAATCAATTTTGTCAGTGGTTGTTGAGATCTGAACCAGGTACTAACATATGGTTCAACAATTTAGACTTCACAACAGGTATGGATTTTTGATATTTTTTATAATAACATGTATTATAAAATTATAGTTATGCAACACAAAATAAGTAGCTAATTTGCATATTAATTATCCCATTTCAGTGCAGACATTAGTTTTAGGGCCAGTCCATGTATATTAATTTGCATATTATTTCATTTCAGCCTGTGTAAGCATAATCTCAAAAACTTCAAAATGGATTTTGATCAAATTTGCTATATGTTGCCGTTGAACGCCTGCTGGCTGATAATCCCAACCTCTTATGCCAGCTTTTTCACTGATTATTGTAAATTTTTTATTTTCTAGATATTTTTTATAAAACAACAATGACCACATATATTCTGTATTCACATGGTAGCTTTTCAGAGTTTAACTTTGATGTGTACTGCAACACATCTTTATTATAGTTTGAACATAGTTAGCCGTCTTTTCCTTTACAAATCTGTCTCCTGATAATTTTAACCCTTATGTAAATCTATAAAATTCACATCTCATTGTAAAACGTGTATGTTTAAACCTACATATTCTTCTTAGTTGAATTGCTGGTTTGCCAACATAGAACTTAGTTGTCTTCTTCCCATTCTGATTAGACTACAGTTGTTAAATAAAGTACTATATTTAATTTTCAGAACCATGGTATGATTGGGTTGACATTGGTATCGGATACGTCTCCTCAGATTGGTTTACAAGATTATTACATGTGTCTGGCTCAGCATCTACTGATCCAACACATATGTACTACACATCATCTGATGTAGTGTGGGTAACCTTCACAGCTGATAGAACTAGAACAAGACAAGGATTTCAAATGGAGTTCTTTAGTGGTTTGTAATACTGTTATTTTATATTGTATGTGTAGTCAACTTCCTCAAGAGTTATTCCAATTATACTACAATTTATTTATTTATTTATTTATTTATTTATTTATTTATTTATTTATTTATTTATTTATTTATTTACTAATTACTCATTAATAACTAACTAACAGCTGATTTAACAACTGACTAACAACCGACTAATTAACTAACTGTACAATTATTATTGTCAAAATAATAATTATTCTTACTACTCATATACTCACTGGTATTTTATTGTGTTTAATACTTTCCTCAGATGGCTGTGTTGATACTACCTTCAATGAATTATCAGGAGAGATTCTTTCACCAAGCTACCCAAGTGTCTACCCTCACAATGCAGACTGTCTTTGGTTTATTTCTCTAAATCATGCATCTGTTATCAGACTCACTATTAATGAATTTATTGTGGAGCATGGATACGATAAACTACTAATAGGGGAAGGTGATGATCCAAGTTCTGAAGACTACCAGGTGAGTCAATCAGCCAAAATTATTGTCCTAATTCAATTAGTGTAATTGTCTGAGTGATCTGTGTCTTTACATGGTATGGCTTGACAGTCATCATAACTTTTTTTGTAGAGCAGAGAAACATTCCAATATCATGAGTCAATATAAAAACTACCGTAACTGCAATAAAAAACAAAATAGAATTAGCATATTTGCTCTTGCCATTTGTCAAAATATTTTTAAACTACATTGCAGTTTACCTTCTTAGTGATTACTTTAGTATGATACTCTCATGGTATTTGTAAACAAAAACAAGTTTAACGTATTTGATAATAAATGCATTGTAATAAATTGCAATATATTTTGTCTGGACCTTGGTGAAAAATAGGAATATTAGCTATTTTAATAAATAAGCACTCAGCTGGGAGATTTGGGTCAGAACATTTCTAATATACATGTGTCAAATGGTAGTAAATAATACTGTTAATAGTACATGTGTATATAAATGGTAATTATTATATTATATATCAAGTAATTATATTAAAATAAGAATGAAGAAATTTGCCTGTGATTTATTTGACTACATGCGAGTTTTATTTCTGGCAGGTTCTCACAGGTGTTATTGAGGCTGGTACTGAGTATTTAAGTCAAGGTTATAAGTTATGGTTGAAGTTTGAAACAGATTGGTCAGAAACAATGAAAGGATTCAATATCACATATGAAGCTGAATGTAAGTCATTACCATATTCTTAAAGCAATGCAAACCTTGTAAAAAAGAAGCACTGACATCTACTAATCTAAACTCAATAGTCAGAAATTCTAGGATATCCATTGGCCAATGCTAGACAGCCATGGAACAATCAATATTAAATGTCTTATTATTTTTCTAAATCCCAGGTCCTGATGGTTATGAACCGGCTCCTACTGGCATATGTTACAAGTTTGTGAATGATGGAGCAAGCTGGGATGATGCAAGACTGGACTGTATGACAACAAACAATGGCGATCTTGTTATTGTTGATAGTGATGCCGAATTGGATTATCTCAGAACAAAAATGACAAATACATTCTGGATCGGTGAGATACTTACAATAGTTATACCTTTAGAAAACACCTACATGTTCTATCAGTCAGTAATCCTCATAATAACACCATGTCATCATTTTATCTGAAAGATGACAAAGATATCATACTTTGTCTATCAATTTTGTAGATTTTTTTTTTCTAATTCTTAATCCCATCTCTATAATAATAAATAATAATAACTTATTTAATTAAGCGCAACAATTCCAACATATGAAGATCAAAGGCGCTGATACAATAAACAATCAGTCAAATATTAAAAGCACATTTAAATAAGTGCGTTTTCAGTCTGGATTTAAAAATGTCTACTGAAGGACTAGAACGAACAGACAGAGGTACCGGTAATTCATTAAAGAGTTTAGGACCTAAATTTTCAAAAGCACGGTCTTTGTATAACACCTTGGACTTTTTACTACACACCTGACGAGTTTTAATAAGAAACTTCGATTCAGATCTTAAACTACGACTAGGTACATAAAATTCGATTAATTCACATAGATAATTTGGGGCAAAACCATACAAAGATTTATACACTAGTAAAAGTAATTTGAAATTGATTCTTTGTACAACTGGTAACCAATGAAGTTTAATAAAAATGTCTGTAATGTGGTCATATTTTCGAGCATGAGTGACAAGGCGGGCTGCTGCATTTTGTACACGAATAAGAGGAACTTTGTTGATATCAACTAGCATAATTATGTTCTTTCATGATTTTCTTCGTAAGGGTTGTCTTACATTGAATGGGACTATGAGTGGTTATGGGTGGATTGCTCTAGAATGACATCATGGCAACTTGATCAGTGGAACGGAGATGTGCCTACTCATCCAGTTGATGTCGGAGGTGAAAGTTGTGCAGCTTCAAATGGTGACTGGACAGGATATCAATGCAGTAATTTACATAGTTATGTATGTGAATTAAATATCAAAAGTAAGCAATAAACATTTATATAATAATAATAATAATAATAATAATTGATTTAGATCTATTATCATTATCTAACAATATATGTATGCAGCATATATTTGTACTTGAAACACTGACCAGTTGGTCTCAAAATGTATGTGTGAAGTACCTAGCTTTACATGGGTTCATTCATCTGTACATATTATTGTTTGTGCCAGCTTGAAGAGAAGATGTCATCTTCTTTTTCACGCTTTCATTATTATTAGTTAATGTCATTAGGATACTGAAAATGAATAACACAAAACAAGGTCACAGGACAATTTGTCAGGAAATAAGATACCAAAAATGGCACAAATTGCATTTCAAGATTTTGCTTGGTGACTTAGAATGGCAAAGACATATTATTATTGATATCCATCCAAATTAAAGCATTTAAAAAGGTGACTTTATGTAGTAAGTTGCTGAGTCAATTGTGATAAATTAATCGTTGTCTGTGTCTATATTATGTACAACTATATACTATTAAGCTTTATTTCATTTTGATCAATACCATTTGATAACAGATTTCACTGGAGATGATCTGAATCCTATAAACCTCAGTGGCCATCCTCTATCAGAATATGCTATCTACATTTCCTGGCATGCACCAGAGTATTCCTGTGACATTAGAGGATACAACATATCATATCATGTACAGTACGAACCGGAAACACAACAGGCAGATTACGTGGAGGGCGCTATGACTACGGAGTTCAGAATTTTTGATTTGTTGAGTGATACAACCTATGTAATCACAGTTGCATCTTACACTGTGAAGGGAATTGTGCAACCTGGATCAACAGTGCTGATTTCCACTTTGCCACGTAAGATTTTTTCCATAGTTCCTTTTTTTACCAGTTCACACTGGTGTAAGTTGTGTACATAATATGTGATAACATTCTATTGTAGCTGTAATGTAAAGAATAAAATAATCCTGAACAGTTCTGGGAATGTTCCTTTAAGGGTTTTAAAGTTTACTTTCGGTATGTAAACTACTTGTGTTATAGAAATACCATCATAGCCGCATAATGCTGAAATTTATAATTGTGAAGAGGAATTTACAAAATTAAATCTAAACCAGCACCAGCCATTTATGTTAAATATTCTTGCATTCACATCTTTATCGATTTACCATGATTTTCTGCTTTTAATTTGGATTGTCGGTGAATTTATTTTCAGCCAAACCAACACAACCCATAGAGCCTACACCTAAGCCTTGTGGTGGAGAGTACACCGTGAAACCTGGTACGACCCTGGAAATCACATCCCCTGGGTACCCAGCTAGCTACAGCAATAATGAACACTGTGAGTGGGTCATCAGTGTTTCCGAAGGAAAAAGGCTAAAAGTTACCATTTGGGAATTTGAAACGGAGTACGGATATGATTTTGTGGATCTTGGTAAGTTTATGTTCATTACCTCTGCCAAGAAGGTTTTGTTTTATATTGTTTTTTGGGGTAATGGATTACATTTTTGAAGAGATCTGAATCCAAATGCCATTGAGAAAGGAATTTTCGGAAAGATTGTTCATCTTTACCAAATAGGTCCATTGTACTTGTACTTTGTCACAGCAGTGGAGGTTTGGGCTCTCAGATTGGCTTCTAGGTTTTTATGTGATTCAACTTAAATATTACTTAGTCTAGTCTAAAATTAAAACACCCATAAGCATATATCATGTTTTGACACCAATGAATTTTAATCCAATCAAATCATTCACCAAACACCAAAAAATCCAAAAAATCAACATTTGAGTTAAATGAACAACTTTTTTATTGGGTGTTTATTTCCAACAGGTTTCTCTGTATAATTATTACAATAATTTGTTTTTTCAGGAAATGGAAATGATACCGCTGAACTGAGTACCAGATTTATCCGGCTATCTGGCTCATTAGACGTCCAAGCCTATGTGTCACAGACTGAGATTCTATGGATGGTGTTTGAAAGTGATGGTTTAATCACTGCTCCAGGATTTCTCTTTGAGTTTGAAGAAATTGATCCAGGTATTGTCCCTCCTAGAAAAATTACCAATCTGTCTTTGTCTGATATCATATGATCAGAATCAATGACCCACAAATATATAATTATGTTGTTTGAAAGAATCGTCATAATGTGTTGATGTATATCTTCAGGTTATTTGCAGCTTGATGAGGTTAAATATGTTTAAAATTTTAAATGACAAGACGAAAATTGGTGGAGTGGTAAATTTAATAAATCATAACAAGATTTTTCTGTTTGCGCTCCATTACTGTGGAATCAGTTACATTTTGATAATTATGATTGGAATACCATGACACTTTTTAATATTGTGATTTTAAACGTTTTAATCTTTTAACTCTTTAGTATAGATGGTTGTTCGTCATTTTCATCCCATGTCTCACCTTTTTACCTAACCTTTATAACCCAAAATTCCATCAAAAAGCAGTTGTAAGATTTTGCATTAAGATAGATGTATATTTTGTCACAGGCTAAATAAATTCTGACTAAATTTTGATTCTAACTTTTAGGGTAGATGTAGTTGTCATAGCAACATATTTTAGTGTTTTGATGCATCTTTTATTAAAAATAGCTTTTTTTTACTGAAGTACAAGAACCAATTAGTTTCTGAATAATTTTTTATACCTCTCAACTTCAGTTGAAACCCCAACGGAGAAGCCGGCCATTCCAACCACTATGGCACCAATAGAATGCGGTGAGAATATCACAGTATTCAGTGAACCAGTTTCAGTGATTTCACCAAACTACCCAGAAATGTACTACAACAGCTTGGAATGTGTGTGGATCATCACAGCACCCGAAGGAAGACGCATCTTAATTGATATCATTGATTTTGAAACTGAAGCAGGATTTGATTGGGTAACCATGGGGATTGGAGCTGATCCATCAGAGAAGAAGTCCACTTTTAAGTTGCTGACTGGTGTAGTTTATCTTGCACCATTTGATGCTAACTCAAACCAGATGTGGATGACGTTCACCAGTGATCACTCTAATGTTGCCAAGGGTTTCAATATCACATTCCAGGATATCAGAAGTGTTGGTATGTCTATTTCACACTAGGTCATTCTCTATGTTATTAAA